GTTGCCCCTGCTTTTCCTCCGGCTCCCCACATATCTGAAAAAGAACTTCCTATTGTCCTTGATGCTCAAAGCTAGCTGGAGTTCAGTTGCAGCCTTGGCTTTCCTGGTCTGCTCCCTACAGGACCGAACCAGTGCAGAATAATCCTCCTTGGAGGTGACTCCCATCCTCCACCCATCCTCCACTCCATTTGTCTTGTTCCTGAACAAGAGAACAATGATGGAAGCTTATTAAACTCTAACAGTATCAGAGACCAAGCAAATGGATCAGTTTACAGAGAAAAAAGGTATCCCCTTCTAGTTTCTGTGAAAGAAAGAAGAATGCATTAGCCTTCTCCAGAATGGGGAAAGGAATCAAAAGACTGGCATGCATGCATGCATGCAGAAAAAATAAAATAAAATAAAAAGTTCAAAACAAGTCTTATTTTTTAGCCCCAAATCGTATTAGGCTAGCCAGATTTGAACTTGATGCTTGATTCCACCTCTTTCCTGAGATTTTGTTAGTCATATGTCTCATTTGCTAACTTGCTGCACATCTGCATCCAGCTGGCTGGGCTAATCTGGTTCTTTCACTTATTAGACCCCCACCTACAAACTCTTTCATCTTGTGCACTTGTCTGTTAGGTTCCCTAGTTTGTTGGGGGGAGGTGGGGAAAGAGAGTGCTTCTGTTTACCATGGGTCAGGGATTGTTCTTCTGTAAGGTCATTAAGAAAAACAGGAGGATAGCATTTTACAGCATAATAAAAAATTCCAAAACTGAGATTAAAAAAAACCTAAAAAAACTAAAAACCTAAAGAGGAAAAATAAAAGTCACACACACACACACACACTTCAAAAAGTAACAGCAACTTCAAAATAAAACCATTTTGTATACAATGATCATGTACCAGACTATCTTTCTTTTCTACATAGTCATAAATAAATGGGTGAATTCAACTGTGCTGCCAATCCTTCCCACTGCTGTGTAGTTTCTCACTCATTGCACATGGTTCTATTTTGAAATGACTGTTACTTTCTGAAACACCCTCTCCCAAGGAGAGAAGCCAGAACAAAACTTTTGGCTCAGGCAGGCTGATCTGCTTTCATTACCATTAGGTTACATGCAAACTATAATTTAAGCAATGGCAGAAAAAAGGCTTGAATTTTTCTTAGAAGTTCTTCCCAGTTATATGAACAAAAAATGATTAGACTGAGAGGATTAGATGGATACAAAAGCATAAGCCTGGAGTCCAACAGCAGGTGATGTTTTGGTGTTTCTTTAAGAAAGCAAAAAGGGAAAGAAATATGAAAAAAGCCTCCCAAAGATATTTCAAGTAAAACTTCCTAAAACATAGCAAAGTTGTTAACAATAAATAAATACATTGTAATTTTTTTTTAATTGAATTATAAAAGATACGAGAGATTTTAAAAATCTCAGTATACCTGGAAACTATATTATTAATGAGGTTTCTTAGTGAGTAATACAATGTGAAGTCTTTCTGTATTCACTTCTGTATTTTATAATTAACATCATGTGACCTGGTTAGAGGCTTCTGGCTCAGGATGTGTAATTATTTTTTCGCATATACTATCCCATGCTTTCATTTTCATAATTCAACCTAGGTGACATGGGATGATGAGTTTCAACCAGGCAAAACAGTTATGCTCTTCTCAAAAGAGCAATTTTAAATGTCGCACCATCTCAGGGAACTTTTGCCATATTTAGAGAAACTGCTGTACCAAACTCACACGTAACAAGATATGTAATTACATCAGAATACTCTATACTCCCCAATGGAATACCAAACATGAAAAAAAAAAGAACCTGGGACTGAAACTGCGCTTGTAAATGTCTAGGGTTTATTGCTTCATACCTTCACTGGACAAAATAAAAGGTTATTCTCCATTCCCATGCTCTTCAAAGGCTGACTAAGCAACTGAATTTCCTCAGTCACTAAAGATGCTTCCAGATTTGATTTTCTTGGCCCCCTCTGTCTTTAGTTTCTTAATACTTAATTCAATGGTCTGTCTTTTTCAAAGAAACAGCATGTGCATTAAGTGGCATTCACATAGTAACTGAAAAGCTTTGAAGAAACAGCCATTTAGTTCAGTGATTAGTACCAAACTTAGTAATGCTGCTACAGAATAAGCCACCATAAAAGTTAACAGATTTTTTTTCCACACTTGCCTTTCTTACAAGTCTACACAAATGTGTGAATTTTTATATTCGATCATCT